TCAAACAGGATCCACGGTTCCATCTCCCAATTACTCTCTGATTTCCTGCCTATTCTCAGTTCTCAAAGCGGCTGAGCGTCACTCGAATCGAATGTAGTACGAAACGGTCTCTGCAGCATGGGTAGATCTCGAACAGATGTAAATCCTCGTTTATGACTGGACGCTTATCTTTATTACAAAGTATAATACCATTGGCTTCCGGCCTATTAGCGCGGCGATCGTGCGGACGGTAACGAGGGATTTCGAAATGAAAATCCCGTCTGGGCTCGCGGCACTTTCGCGACTCGACACTTCTTCGATCCGTTTAATGACGTTCCGCGGATCGGTGTCATAACAACCGGCAATTTATCGGTTAATAAATCGGGAACTGGTAGCGGCAATCACCGTCGAGCCATCGAAATACGGAATTTACTTCTTTTTCACCATCTTCCAAGGTGTCGCGTCGTTCAAGTAAATTCTGGTTTTTAAATTGCGCTTGCCTGTTATTGTTTCGTCTTTATATAGACCTGATCGAACTGATCAGATAATTTAGTCCTTCCATAGACTCCGTATTTTATGGTATTCTATTTCCTTCGATTTTTCTGCACAAAACGTATTTTTTCTTAAATTAATGAAACTGATTTCTTTGAAGATGTGTTTGTGATTAATGAAATAGAAAGACGAAACTAATTGTAAGTTGGAAAGTGTCTTTCAGTGTAGCCTATTGAACACTGCAATTGCAGGGTTGATTAATGAATTAAGAAGGTATTATGGAACAGAATTTTGTAAGAGAAGCATTTTAACAAATTTATTCATATTTTCATTTTATTGAAAATTCCCTGCTACACTGTAGATGTGAAATCGAACGCTATTAACGCGAACCTTTAACAATAGAAATAACTAAAATTCTGGAATAATTCTGAACATTTTTGAACATCCTAGAAAAATGAGGTTTTATCGTTGTTTTGTGTCGTCCTTTTTGTTAGAAAAAATAAATTAAACTCTACCTAGAGCTCTAAAGCACGTAAGATACTCTAACTTTACTTAACCCTTTCAGGAAGAATTTTTTTTTAACAAAGCACGCAATAATACAATTCGCTCAAATTTTGCAAAAAAAAAAAAGAAAAATTAGAAGAAGATCGCAGATTAATATCCCAGCAATCTTTGCAAAGTTACCTTGTAACGTACTGTCCCATCAATCTCGAAAGGGTTAAAATACAAAAATCACATGCAGTCCCAAACACTTCAAACTCCCCTAAAAAATGAGACACTGATAGATAAGAACGCTACAGCTAAGAAGGGCAGAGTTTATACGAATCTGTTTAACAGGCCTATCAGAATATAAATACTGCCTATCGAGTCAATAAATCAGACATTATACGAATTCAAGTTTCGAAGTAGGAAGTGATCACGATGATGAATGATACTTTGCAACATATCCACCGTAGGAAACTTATCAACCGGACTCTATATCGACTGAAAGATTGCACAGTGAAAAGCCCTATAACGTCTTGCAACCGGCAATTCTCTACGAAAAGCACACTCCAAAGCTGTTTCACATTCTAGCAACAGACTATTTTCTCTCCGTCGATTTAATCAAACCTCGTTGAATATCAAACCCGATAAATCAACCAGAAGCAAATCAATCCACTTTCGCCTTCACATTCGTCGAATCCCCTCTCTTATCACCGTCTCAAGATCGTCAATGGGACCTCGTTAAGGCCTAGGCGAACAAAGGTGAATCGCCGATTGAACTGTTCAGCTTAATAAAGAACACCGACGTCGAGTTATCGGTTTAAAGGATGATCGATATTAGTCACGATTAAAGCGGCGTCACACACTCGCCATCCCCAGCTGATTCTCTTCAGCTTTGTAACGAGAGCGGTTATTTATTTATCTGCAACCGGCGCAGGCCTGAATGCCACGCGGGATTAGAGACACCGGATCATTATTTATACTTTAGTCACGGTTACGCGTTCTCAAGCCTAGCAGGACGTCATGGCTACTTGAATTAATCATGTGTCACTTGCACGTTCGTATACTCTTACCAACGAACCCCCCTTTTTCCCTCTTTCGTTGCTTTCTTTTTTTCTCTGGGAAAAATGATTAAGACCTCTTCTGTGGAACTGTAATGTACCTCGCGTTGATCAATCGGCCAAGTTGCGAAAGAGCGTTGCAAATAAGACGCGGGTGAAATTATTTATGATCGTTTCTGGTAATTTACTGGTAACTGGAGTTTTTCTATTCGCTAATTGTTATTACAAGAAATGGAGGGGTTTTTGTTTGCTGGTGTAGATTTAATGTGAAACGCGGTAGGGACATTAGAGAGGAGCACCGTAGGCATTGATTGATCGTATACATTGCGTGTAATGTTCTGTTTCTCGAATTCGTCCAAGTTCGTAATTTTGGTAGTTTGTTACAGAAAGACAGTTAAATTTTTCACTCAATCTTGCTAAACGTAAGCGTGCAGCGTAATTAGGTGCACGGTTTTCTTGTTTCTGGATAAGATTTCACGTTAGAAACGTGAGATAGGGAGATGATGGAGTAAAGAAATGTGTAATTAAATATTAATTAATTCTAATAGGATTCGTTAACTTTAGAGACAAGTGTATAGAAAATTATTTAAGGGATGGATTATTTGTGGTGTTGTTCAAAGTGAAATTTGTTTGAACAATTTTTTGTTAGGAAAAATATAGAAACCTTCGCTGAAGAGTTATCTTAAAGAAAATTTTTCAGGAAATATTTTCCGATCTTCTTTCGAAAGTGTGAAACATTAAAATCACTCTCTGTTTTTACACATAAATGTAGTTTTGAATAAAGTGTCTGTACAAATTGCTAATCTGACTAGAAATGTTTTACAATTATTTCATTTATATTGTCGTTTGATACTTTGCTCGTTAGTCTGTCTGATCGATAACAGATACAATCTACTGTCTCACCTTAAAATACCTAATTTTTACTTTGAGACAGTTCAATCGCATTTTCCTGCAATATTTCTGTACACAATTTACACAGAGTTGTAAATAAATTGAATTACCAATTGACAATTTCTCTGATTTGATACGTATCGTGTAAAGAAATCTTACACAGTTACTTATCGTTATGATAGTTACATTTTTCACCAATAAAACCATCCAAAATACGAACTTAAAGAATTTGTATTAAAACTACAAGATTATCACGTAATTTTAAAGTAACAAAGATACACACAATATAAGTGCAGCAATATATTGCCTAAGATTAAATTTAAAAAAGCAAATAACAGATCCACTTTTCTTCGAAAATTCGCACAGATTTAGCTGAAAATTTATAGTTCCGCTTGTCTCGCAATATGTAATACGTATTTGATACTCAACTATGTGGAAAACTGTTCGAACCACGCTGGACGACGTGATATTTACGATATTTGCGATACACGATCCATTAATTTGTGTTTACACAGGGGAGAGATAATCGATAGTAAAACTGATTACGCGATAGTGACCATTAATAATGTTTAGCGTATTATTAAACGACATAAAATTTTCTAGCTACATGTTGCACGATAATTATTCAAATGAAATGTCCCGCGTGGAAGACTGTTACCTATGGCAGCGTGTAACGATGTTGCTGCTTGTTGAATTAATAAATTAACCGGCCAATAGGAATATCGACGAGGCACATTATAATTGGAAAAATTTCGTCTAACATGTATTCCAGAAATTTAATCTGAATGTAACATTCTGTTAACGATTATTAGAATTGGTGACTTACAATTTATTGGTCAAATTTAGTTTCTGTTTATTCTGAAATTTATTTTAAAATTTATTCTGAACTTTACTCTGAAATTCATTCTACATTTGATCTCGAATATCCTAAAATTTATTCTACGCTTAACTTAAAATTTCTTCTGAAATTTATCCCAAGTTCAATCCGTCGAACGAAACATACCCAGAAAAATTCGAAAAACCAGAAATCTGTTAACCGGAAAAAATAAGTGTCCTCAGATTTACAATCTACATACGAAAAACGTGAAACTCTCGAAGCGAAGTTGCAAATGAAGCGAAAATGATAAGGAACGTGTAAATTTCTGTTTAACATTGTTACACCGATTGTTCCGTCTTTGAGCGAAGCGATTACAAGTATTATTTCACCGTCTGACACCGGTAACCAAATTGAATTCAAATGTGCACTACCTGTTCACGATTTATGGCTGCGTCATAAAAATACCTCGTTGAATGCTCTTTCTTCTTTTTGGTCGTTGGGGCCCAGCAGCCGTGAAAGTGCCAACCAGGGCTTAAGTCGTTTGAATACAATGCGATATTCGTCCTGGCGGCATTGCTAATTGCGAAATGTGATCGATCGCACATCAACAAACACTAGTCATGCATGACTAGGATCCAGACTGACTAGATGCTGATCACGATACGCGTAGATTTATATATTCTTGCCTAGAAATAGATCGAAGACATGTTTCTCTCATACGTGATCTCATAGGTCGGGAATGAGATGTGAAATATTAACGTGGAACAATGTTAACAGAAGGGGATATTATTTCACGTGTTTGCGTTTCGACATATAATTTCGATTTGAACCTCTCGCGAGCTACATTTACGAGAAACAATTCGTGACTGTGTATGTTGGCTTATCGAGAATTGAAGGAAAGCTCTTGCGCAACTTTGTGGCTAAACGTGATATCAAGATTGTGAAAACAAATAAAGCAGAATTTTATTTCGATATTTTTGAAAATTAGGTGTCGAATTGAATTCACATAATTCATTCAAAGCTACAGAGTTTCTAACGCGATAGTATTCGCAAGCCGCCAGAAAAATGGCAAAAGGTCATCGACAATAATGGAAATTATTTCGATTCTCGATCTGTTTTCATTTTCTTTGAATAAAATTTTGACTGTGCCCAAAAGTCGGAAGGAATTCATTTCTACAGCGGATCAATGTTAATTATATTTGACTAAGTAAAGTAAGATGATATAATTGGATTAATTAGTGGGTTGTGTTAATAGTGAATCTGTTAAATGCTTTCAGGATGCCGATGTAATCTTGTTGGCTCGATAAGTACCACCTGTGACATCGTAACAGGACAGTGTCAGTGCAAGCCTCATGTGACTGGTAGACAATGCGACCAGTGTATGGTGAGTCCATTAAGATAAAGACAAATTGGAACTTATCAAACTTGTTCTATCTCTATGAATTAATTTCGTTCGATTTTTCTTCGAATAAATACAAATTTAACATGTCTTGTTGCATTGTAAATATACTATGCAGTTGATCGATCTATGAATAAATTAGAGATTTGCATAATAATGCTAAATTGTATTATTAAATCTGTTAAGATAGGAATCTGTTCTAAATGTTAAGCGAAACATTACTTGAAAATAAATTGTATACAAGTCACATAAGAAATCCGTCATTGTTATGGGGTTATTCAAAAACAATGAATAACGTGCTCTTGTTTCTTTAGAAAATTGATAAACTGAATATTGATAACTTGAAAATTGATTAATGGAATAGTAATAATTTGAATATTGACGAATAGAAAATTGATAACTTGAATATTGATAAATTGAAAATCGATCTATTTTAATTTGCATGTTAACAACGTTGTCACATATTTTCAATAAGTTTCTCTACTTTTCCCTCGTAAGTTTGGTTTCTGGGGTTCAACAACGGGAGCAGGATGCGCTCCTTGCGGCTGCGATCTTATAGGATCGTACAATTCTTCTTGTCACGACAGCGCAGGACAGTGTTATTGCAAACCCGGAGTAGCTGGCTCGCGTTGCGACAACTGTCTACCTGGGTATTACGGATTTTCATCGAACGGATGTCAAGGTAAATATTTCACACTTTTCTAGCGATTATTTCGAACTCTATCAACTCTAGAATTTCATCTCGTTGTATCCGCTTAGAATCGCTAAATTATGAAAATTAGTCGCTCTTCGACAGAAAATTCTATCGCAAAACGATCGAATCTTTAACCTAATTTTTTCTGCCTTCACAGTGTGCGATCCGTGCGTGAGACCAGGTCACATTTGCGATCCTGACACAGGTCGATGCGTCTGTCCAACCTTGACCTTTGGCGAGCATTGCGACAGGTGCAGGCCAGGTTCATGGGACTTGGTCCCAGGAGTTGGATGCAGGCCTTGTGCGTGCACTCTTGGCTCGACGAAGTCTCAGTGCGATTATCAGGGACAATGCCCCTGTAGAATAGGCTACGACGGGCTTAGGTGCGAGAGATGCGCCAAGGGATACTATGGCTACCCTAGGTGTCGACCTTGCAGCTGCAGTCTGGAGGGTACCTTGCAGTGTGACAACGAAATCTGCGATTGCAACGAGGAGGGACAGTGTCCTTGTAAGGTATGCCTAATTTTACCTTTCTTGTATTAAGAATTCTCTACTTAGGTGAAAATTTAGACTCTCTGTTCTTCACAGTTAGATAGTATCTACAAATTTTCATTTATTCTTATCACTACAGAACGGCACAAAGAGTACCAAATATGATACGATAGACAAATTTAAGAAAAGCAGTGACTCAGTATCTTGCAGCAAAATCTGAAAAATTATCAGAAAACTGTGATTTGACGGTGATTTGATGTTGAAATTAAAATTTGTCGTCCGGATGAAATGCACATTGTTTACAATTCGATCTGTCTTTATTAAAATTACTTTCAATTAGTGCTTTTCGTGTTTACGGGAAATCCTACTGTTTCGATGTAGGAACTGGTGCTTGGAAGGCAGTGCAATCAGTGCAAAGAAGGTACGTTCGGTTTAGCAATGGACAATCCGAAAGGTTGCACCGAATGCTTCTGTTTTGGAAGAACAGCTTCTTGCCAGCAAGCTGGTCTCAGTTGGGGACAACGAAGATTAACACGTCCACGAATTCTTTATCTCAACGACACTAACAACGACATCGTAGTAAGTATCACGCTGTTATTTGAAATAAAAAACGTTGAAGAAAGAGTACAATTTTTACGATATAAAATAATTTTAAGTTAAACTTTCTCTCTCTGTTTCGTACACAAAATTGATGTTCTAATTTAAAAAAAAAAAAAAACAACTTTAAACGATGTAATATCTTCCTCGATAGGTTTCCAAATTTAGATCTCAGATTATCTTATCCCCTGTTAACGGTGGTTTGAACATAACCAATGGACTTTCCACGATTTCTGATGTCGAAGGTGATGTCACTATACCGTCAAACTTGTATTACAATTATCCACTCTATTGGATGCTGCCCGGATCTTTCCTCGGTGACAAGGTAACTTCGTGTGTTTAAAATCAGATAATTAAATTAATTTTTTGTCGTAAAACCACTAAAAAATTGCGAAGTAGAGCGATATAATGTAATTCGGTATTCAAGGTTGTGTCCTATGGAGGATTTTTGAGATTCACAACCTCGACAGAAGGTGGAATACCTCTGAGATCAACTTTTCAATATCCAATCGTGCAGTTACAGGGAAACAATAAAATTGTCTTAGAATATTATTTACCCTCGCCAATGAATAACGATCACTACGAAGTCAGGTATGAAAAATTCTGATTGAACATATTTTGTTCATCTACTTTCGTTCATTCTTTGCACAATCACATTTACTCATTTCAGATTCCACGAGTCTTTGTGGCAGTTGCAAAATAGACCTGATTACAGAGTCACAAGAGAGGTACTTATGGTTGCATTGCAAAATTTGCAATACATACTGGTGAAAGCTTCCGACAATGCAGAATTTACGAAAGCAACGTATGTTAATTTTTAAATTGCTTCGCTGCTTTTATTTTCATCAATTTTCGTGTCTTACCCTATGTCATTAGCAATAAATAAAAATTATATTTGGAAATTGATTATAGCCCTTTTCAGCCAATTTTTATCCAAATTTTATAAATCTCATTTTATCTGCCCTATTGTCTTACTATGACAATATTATTATCAGCCAAGTTTACTGATAATAGTTATTAATTTTTCTCTTATGAAAATGTGGAATTGCGATCAATCGTAATGATCTTCTCCTCACGAACGTAGAGCAATCAGGTTGCAGAGGGTGAAATATTAAAGAAAACAAATTCTTTACATTCTTCTTTCACATATCCTGCTACCAAGATCGCACGAATCCCTCGTGAATTTATAATTACGTTAAATTTTAGCTTACTTGAAGCTTCTTTAGACGCCGCAGTTCTAACACCCACGCACACTCCACCGTTCGCTACGGGTGTTGAAATTTGCCAGTGTCCACCGGAATACAACAGCACTTCCTGTCAAGATCCCAGCATCGGATACCATAGATGGTATAAAACGACAACAGTCACATCTACCATCGTTATCGATCTTATCGGAGAAGCGAGACGTTGTCAATGTAATGGAAGATCTACGATCTGTGACATAGAAACAGGACATTGCTTGGTAAATTCTTTGAACGAAACACTATTCTAACAAGATATCGTCGGTCCTATTTTCTCCTTTTTATAAATTTTGTAATTTCAAATTACGGCCGTTGATACGTTGGATTTTATTTGCTTGAAAAGTTTGGCAGATGGAGATTGTTAAATTCAAGGAAACGTGTGAAATTGCGTGTAAATTTAATGGCTGTTCTAAATGTTTAACTTGGGATAAATGTATCATTTTCTTTCCTCTGGAACATTTGACAAGGGACTGCAGAGAAACCAAAAGGGATATCAGGATGGAAGACGTAGCGAGTGGGAGACGTAGAGTGGATGGTAACACCAGAGAGAATATTAAAGTAGAAGGGAGGGGCAACAATTAATGGGTAATAAGTAGGGTGATAAGTGAGTAGAGTAGGGAATGTGAATGGAGGAGAGAGACAGAGAACGAATCGAATGAGTGAATAAGATAGTTTTATAAAACGTAGGTTATTGTAAACCAAGTCCAATTCATGGCTGTGAGGCTGAATAAATAAATCTATATACTATCATTTTCTTTCCTATAAAAAAAAAAACACTTTAAATACAATCAGAAGAGCATTGATATCACGTCAATATTTCACGACGAAATCTAACACCTTTGTCACAGAATTGTCGAGGAAATACAACAGGGTCAAGATGCGATGTCTGCGCAGACAGTTTCTACGGACATCCAGATTTTGGCTGCAAACCGTGCCCTTGCCCACAAGTAGATAAAAGATTTTCAAACACTTGCATGGTTCTTGCCGATGCGGAACCGATCTGCATTTGTAAACCTGGTTTGTATATTTGCTACACTGTTAATTATTTCCCCCAAAATTAATCAAAAAACGAAGCAGTATTTACGAAACTTTAATACGGTCGCTAAATGAAAAATGTCAGAATATTAAATTTCCAAATTCCAAATAATTCTCTAATTCTTACTTTATTCTACTTGCATTCTAAAATACTATTCGTACTGTATTTTTCTATATTTTGAATTGCTGAAAAATCTCTCAAGATACGTTTCTAAAGAAACGCAATATTTACGAGGGCAAATGAGGATATCTGCATTTTCACAGGATACTCTGGTAGAAAATGTGAGCGATGCTCGTCCGGATATTACGGATTTCCACATTTTCCCGATGGCAAATGTACGCCGTGCAATTGCAATCCTGCTGGAAGTTGGAACGACGAATGTGACACGGAAACGGGACAATGCAGATGCAGAGCTGGATCTACGGGGCGTGATTGCTCTGAATGCACCGCGTATCGCCACGTTTATATAAATAATGTCTGCACGTGTAAGTAAGAAACGCGGAAACCCTTTTTGTTCCAATTGCATACGCAGCATTTCGCAGGAAAATCTTTTATCTTATATACTTTAACACGATTTATATCGACAATTAGAAATTTGGAACATTACATCGTGGATTTTCTGGTAAAACACGCTAAAACAATATTATTAATTTAGAGTAAGTAAACCCGTGAATTTTTTCATTCGGTATATTCTACCAGTGTACTCGGGACATCTGAGCGAATGAAATATTAAAAGGAAAATAAAATACAAAACACAAAGTTACGCAAATATTATCTAATTCGTCCAATATTCCTTTAAACGATTGAAAAAGAGAAATTTAATAAAATAGTTCTAACATGTTCGAATTGTAGATTTTAATATCTCATTTTTGTTAATTATATTCAATGTTATTTTTCACTAGCGTGTAACGATAATTGTACCGGAATACTACTCGACACCGTGGCTGTGCTTTCTCAAGAATTAGCAGAAGGCACTACACACATAGCCAATGGTTACATTCCTCCTCCATGGGAAGATTTATCGCACATTGACTCGAATGCGACTGCTTTTTTCGAGGATATAGATCTTCAGAATACACTGAAACAAAGAATGAAAAATATCCCCTGGCACGATTACAAAAAGCTCACGAACAATGTGGAAATATTGCTGAAAACTGTACGTAGCTTAATTAAATAGAAGCTTGAAAAAATTAATTCGTTAGAATATTATATCAGTGTTAATTTTCTAGGCGAACGAACAAGCGAAGCGTGCAGACACTTTTAAATCCAAGTCCAGCGATTTGAAGAACAACATGTTCAGCGGAAAAATTGAATTGGATAATCTTAGGAAACACATCGAAGGTTTTGAACTAGTTCTCGAAACGTTTGCTAAATGTTAGTCGTAAATAAATGATTATAATTTTTCTGATTTCAGATACGGTCTTTTTGTTGAATCAGTACGGTAACGATAATAAGAGAATAGAGATCAAGAAGGCGTTGAAAACGGCGAAAATGATTTTGAACGGCATGAAAGCCGTGAATTTGTCGAAGAAGACGATGGAAATAGAAAACTTCCTCGAGTTAGTATCAACATAAATCTTCACGTAGCCTGATTTATTTATTTTCTTCCCGTTTCAACGAAGAATGATTTTTCATAATTGCACGTTTCTACGCAAAAGCTTTATAAATTGTGATTTTTGTTTCTAATCGGAGTTAATAATGACTTAAAATTTAAATAACAAAGAATTTAAATTAACTTAAATTACTACTGACCTAAAATTTAAATTAACCCTCTATGGGCCGAATATTTTTCTTGACTGTAACAGAATTTATGTAACGTAAAATTAGCAAATATCGACCTATAAATACAGAATAACAGTGAATTCAGCAGTTTCGACAATTTTATCATAACGAATACGTACTGTAACTTTGAAGTAACAACGGTTATCAAGAAAGTTACTGGTTAATAAGGAGACCATTTTGTGGAAGAAAGTTCAATTATTTAATAAAATATCGATATATTAGTGTAGGGGATTTCTGTGGAGGGATAGTAACTCGAACGGACTTTTGACTATACTACATTTATTAATAGTTCATATCGCTATGCTAAAGATGTGGCTCGATCAATCGCTGGATTCACACTCCCTTTCGCACCCTCGCATTCGCCCTAATGTCATCTTGCATACATGCACACTTTTCCGTAGAAGAAAACACTCACGCACTCCTCGCCTGATTACTAAAACTAAACATTCGTTCAATATCTTTCGCGCTATCCCAAACACTCGACCTGGCACGCCGGTCCTTACCGCTCCGGTCATAGACCCTCACGCATTCACACAGACAACGCATTCATACAAACAACGCACTCACGCTCGGTCATCCCTACATTAGTATGTGACTTGAAAGTTACACGGGCCCATAGAGGGTTAAATTGAAATTTTTTGAAACATAACAGGGACGTCGCTGAATACACTGATTGGTTAAATTCCTTGTACGACCCAACGGAACCATTAGCGATCGCCCAAGACGACGCCGAAGAATATTCTGAGAAATTAAACGACATGAGAAGTATCATAGAAGATACAATGGAAACACTCTTCACCTACGACGGTTTATACAACAGTATTAATCAGACGCTTTTGGACGCTAGAAATAATTGCAACGAGGTCAAGATACTGCACAATAAAAGTAACGAATCCGTTACCGAAGGGGAAAAGCTGACAAACGAAACGCGTGGTTTCATTATCGATTTGCAAAATAACATTCAAGTGCGTATAATTACAGCGAATAGAATTAATCGACACTCCAAATTTTTTGGAGAAAAGTATCTTAGAAAGGCAACTTCAAGGGGGATTCTGCAAAATTTACCCACGTCATTTTTAACGTTTGAAAAAGAATCATAATTACAACGTAGGACATCAAACATCACACAACTCTGAATTTAACTTTTTCTCCATAAATTATACGATTTTTTAAATACTCATAAACGCAAATTCTTTGTGTTTTCACCCCTAAAATCGTTCCATTGCCGGGACAAAAAAATGGTTTCGTTATTACTATCACTTGAACTAAATTTCTGCAAAGTTTCAAATTTTCTCGAAATCTTTAGACTTTCGAATTCCCCTTGTAAGTGAGACATCATATTTTTTGACGATTGTAAAACTTTCCGTATTTAGAATATACACTATCGTACGAATTCACAGAATTCAAGTGCAAGATATTTCTGCAACCCTTCCTTTTTTCTATTCTTCAAGTTGTAGCTTATGCAGTAATTTCAATTCAATTTCGTACACTTTGCGTATGTACAAACGTACGTTATCTCGGTTATTAATATTAATGAGAAGTAATGGTAGTAGTAACATCCTATCGAGAAATATTTTCAAGGAAGATACATTAAATTACAGGATCTTCCGGAACTGCGTAACAAATTAACATACTGGTTTGATAAATTGAATATGAAGGAAGAACTGCTGTTCAGATTAAATTACGAATATAACGACACGTACGTGATACCAGCAGTTGCACACGTGAAGAATTTATCGAACTACATTGATCAGTATATCAGGTAAAGGAGAATTATTTATTTTCATTCTTATACACCTTCATTTATATTATCTCGTTACATCTGATACTATTTAAATAGTCAAGCAATAATAAACATTGCGTAACAGCCAGATAAAGAAATAATCCACAAAACAAATAGTTAAATTATTCAAAAAGAAAATCGAATCAACAGAAAGGGAAATATTTTCAATTCAATATTTATCGAATATTACGAAAGTGGCCAAAGTCGTATATTTTTCGTTTCGAGATATTTAGAATTTGAACAAATGTTTAATACTTGCTCCTACAGTATAAATCTTTTCTGTGAGAAAATCGACGCAACACAAAGTAAACGATAAATTTAATTTTCTTAGAATTTTGACTTGGACAATTTTCATAGTCACCAGCAAAAAGTATAACTTGACTATTTAAGAGAAATATTCAGAAAATGCTTCGCACTGGTCCTGTAATTTTAAATAACACACGATACGATACGATAGAAAATCAAATGAAATAAAATTTGATAAAGAGTAGAGGACAGCTCCAGTTGCGAATAAATGAACGATATTTAATTGTACGGTATTATTTTATGTAATTGACGATCGATAACTTGATAAAGTGCAACTTGGCGTTTCTGCCGAGCAGTCTGTTTTCCGAAACAAGAAACATCGCAGCTAGCCCGCTGAAGGCCAGTCAAGCGTACAAGAATATCGTCGATAGCATAAGAACTGCGAATGTCACAGCGATGGCAGCTAAAGATATTGCTGAAGAAACGTACAACAAGGTATGGAAACGCGTTTTCGTCAATGGACATTTTCGAAAATAGCCAATTTCACGGTGGCAATCTCTTTATCAGACATTTCCCGAGGGCCCTAAATCCAAGTCACTGTTGGATACCGCTAAAGAAATATCGCTAGCATCTACCGAACAAAGAGACAGCGCGAAGAAACATAGGACGTTGGTGCAAGACGCGAGCGACGGATTGGATCTTGAGAAGGAAGCTGTGAATACTTTGAAGAACACACTGAACACTACTGGAATCAAAGATAACGAGATCAATGTGAAATTGCAGGGTTTGCAGAACGATAGTAAGAAGTGTATGTCGATTTTACTGCAGTGGTTTATTTGGAGTAATAAAAATTGAAAAGTCGAAACTCGTGAAATAATAAATTAGTTAAAGTGAATAATTGGCAGTAATAAAAAATGAAAAGTCGAAACTCGTGAAATAATAAATTAGTTAAAGTGAATAATTGGCAGTAATAAAAATTGAGAAGTCGAAACTCAAAATTTTCATCTACCGATGAATTTTTCTTTTTTGTTAAATTGTATATTTCTTTATGAAATTTTTGTACGGTACCAATGAACCGTTTGATTTTCCACGATATTGTAGGTTTTCCACAATTTTAAATAATTTTCTATAAACTATTTCTATTAAAATGTCGAACTGAGGTATTCTTGTATTAATTTCTAGTACGTGAAAATGTTTACACTATACTGAACGAGAACGAAAAGGTGTCGGAAGACGTTAACAGTGCGCAGAGGCTCGTTGAAGATTACAACGAAGGAATTGCTGATAGATTGAAGCCGAAATTGTACGAATTGAAAAGAGAAGGCGATTCGAAGATTAGTTTGGCTAGTGAAAAGCGTAAGACTGATCAAGTTTTCAATTACAATGTAAACCTGTATTATACTTAATTTTTCTTAAATTTCTATTTAAAAGGAAACATTTATTTCAGTGACGGAAGCACTCAGCAACATAAAGAAAGCAGACGCGAAGCTAATAAGTCTGTCGAACGCTGCTGTGAAAAGGAAAAATGAATTCGACAAATGGAACGACACTTTAGCTACGAAATTGCAGAAACTCAAGGACAAAATTGCCGAAGCCAGAAACACAGTAGACGGAGTAATGAAAATTTGATTTTTCTGATTCGAAAATAAATCGAAAAATTCTAAATGACACTTCCCTCCGCAGATTCGCGTTTCTTTGATGTCAGCTGATGATAAAAAGTGCATTCGATCCTACAAACCGTCCACGTTGCAGCCAACATCGACAAATACAATCGTGATGACTTTTGCACTTCCGAAAGGAAAGAAAGAAGGCTCTCTATTTTATTTACCAAGCAGCGCAAACGTAGGTGTACTATTTCCTTTCAATATAGGCATTTTAAAATGTTCAATGGAATAAAGTAGTTCGTTTTATTTGTTGCTTACTTTCAGGACGATTTTCTTGCTTTGGAGATCTTCGACAGGAAAGTGAGATTCATTTGGAACGTTGGAGGAGGAACGGGAATTCTTACTCATCCTGAGGAGATCAAGAGCGGTGATTTTCAGGATGATAAGTTCTGGTACCGAATTGAAGCTGAAAGGTGATACATTGTTTAACATTAATAGATCATCGATCAAAATTACATTGTAAAACTGATAATCAAATTTTTACTCTACGCATGATTTTATTGTTTATTATTGTTCTTTATAAAAGGGTCACTTTATTGGGTCAAAAAAGACCCAGAGACCTTAAGTGTGTAGTCGAACAGAAGAACACACTAGGATTAATGCAATTTATTTAGAAAACAGAATAAGAAAACAGAAGGATTTTAATTATTTAATATTTTACAAATTTCTAAAAATCCTAATTAATTCTGTTAAATGAACAGGTATTTCATAACGGACTTTAACGATTTTCAGGGTGCGTCACCTGGGTAAACTTCAAGTACGAAGACAATCATCTTTAACCGGAGGATATCCAGTGATGAATTCGACAAACTCTGAATACGGTCGTTTCGATATAACCACCTTAGATCGCGTCTGGATAGGAGGAATTCCAAGCTATCAACGCAAAAGAAGCGAGCTGATCTCGTCCAGTGGACTTCCAGGTTGTGTGCACCAAGTTATTCTAGATGGAAAACCCATAGGTCTGTGGAATTTCATCTCAACTGCGGCGGAAATGGCTTGCAAAGCTTGTGTGGAAGGGTAATTGAAGACAGATTACGAATTTTCCTTAATTTTTTCAATGTATCAGAATGACTATTTGCATATATTTTAAATGTTACAGAGTGGAAGATCCTAGAGATGACATAGCGTACAGCTTCAATGGAGAAGGCTATGCAGTGATAAACAGAGTTCCTTCAGGACCCTACAATAAATACACGTTTGGAGTGTCGATTAGCTTCCGAACTTACGATGAAAATGCCTTGCTATTTATGGCTATTAATCCAGAAAATGTATGTTACCTTCAAGCACTCTTTATTTGTAATACTGTATTAAAATATCAGGTCCAAAAATGTACAAATAACTATAGTTCAGTTTAGAAAAACATTACTATAAATTTTCACTTATTTAAGTTCATAAAGACACTATCCCCATAATAGAATTTTATTAATTTTTTTCTCTCTATCAATGATATTTCCTCAAACTTCACATTTACAAAATTGACATTTTAAAAGCTCTATACAAGCACTTGTGTTACCCAATATTTCCAAATTATGATTTCTGTGAACTTACTATTTTTCTTCCTTTATTACTGAATTTAGTCGTTATACATTTAATAGTCATTCTGCTCTTCCCAAACACTTATCAATTTTTGAAAAGATTAGCAATTAATTTTCCACATAATTCCTCACATTTCTATTCAGATTAAGCGTAATTGTACTTGATATTCCTTCATTACAGTATCAGCACATCATGATATTCCTGCTAGAGGGAAAAGTAATCCTGCACATTGGTTACGGTGGCAACATCAGCATGGAGATGTCTTCGAAATTCAAGCACAACACCGGAAACTGGACGAAAGTGGACGCGTCTAGGTATTATCAGCCGCGTAAAAACATTGAAAAATGTAGTCTAAGCATCGGAGGAGAAGCGGACAAGAGAATAGGCGCACCTGCGCCTCAGCCTAAGAAAGAAGACATCCCTGATTTCCTTCAGGCTAAATATTACTTCGGTGGTGTTCCACCGAGTTTCCGTGCAGAGAAATTAATGTTACCCTCTCAAGTCTCTTTCCTTGGGTGTATGTCTAATATTATTGTCGAGGATGGCTACGATCCAATGGCGGAGCAGTATTACGGAGTCGAGCCTACTTGTGGAAATAAGGTGGGCCAGATGAAGAATAAGAATTAATTGTTGGAAAATTTTGAACTATTGAAAATTGAGATAAATTCCCTTCCATCTTTTTTCTCTTGTTTTGACTACAATTAGAATATTGATATTTTGTTTTAGTCATATTTTTGGGGGAGTTTATGAAGCCTAAAAATATTTATTTAAAGGAATCAATCTTAATCTTGCATGGAAAATTTGGCTTGTATATATGACAGTGTCTGACAAAATAATTGATATTATCAAGCAATTGTATATATAAGTTTACATTCTTTTCTTCAGCCATTAAAAATAGTAGGATTTTACGGAGACGGTTATTTGCAACATACAGCGTTCACGCTGCATAAAAGAAACTCTACGGTGAGTTTCTCGTTTAGAACGATGCAGGAAGAGGCTGTGCTTCTTCTCTCTACTTTCGAAGGACAGGAAGAACGTGTCACTAATATTCGGCACGCGAATGAAGAATCAAATGTAAGAATTCTTTTTTTTTTTACATAAATAATTGCCCACTCTTGCAGTAATTTAAGTCAAACAAACGAGAGATTTGATTACTTGCATAATAAAATTTGAGAAACTAAATTCGATGAAATCTTAATATTTATTTGTAAGATTTCCTCAAATTAATATAATACTTATTTTCAAGTTAATACCACCGATTTTTCTCTTTGATAATTTCATTCATTCTTCCAGAGAGAAAATTATTATTCGGTGTGCATAATCAACGGACAAGTGCAAGTGCGTATGAACGCCGGAAGAGGAGAGCTCCTTTTACAATCGAACGACACTTTCAACGACGGAAGATACCATTCGATAACGGTTATCAAAAAACGAAAAGATGTCGAATTGCGAATAGACGATGCTTATCAGACCGCAGGTAGACTACCCACCAGTGCGGCCATCAGAGCTCCTGAAGGAAACGGAGGGCTGTTCTTCGGAGGCTTGCCGATACTTATTAATAATACGAAAATGATTGGTACCGTCACTCCTCTGTACGGTGCGATCAGAGATGCAATATTTGACGATAGGCAAGTAAAAAATATAAGCTTTTCCTGAGGTTATCAGTTTCGAGCACGCACTTATCGGTCGTCCTGGACCAAGCATGGGAAGAGACCCTCCTAGTTACACAGCATCGGCATCACTCTCAAGAGGGTTGTCTACTCAACCAGAAGGGTGTCAAAAAGTACCCTACTACTCTTTAGAAGCTGGTGCTCTGAAATTCGGAGACAAGCCGAATAGTCACACCCAGCTGTATTTAAATTTTAAAAAATTTTGGGAGAAGAAATACGCCATAGAATTTGATTTCCGGACCTATTATCCAAATGGCCTGTTGTTTATCACTCCAGTATGTAAAAAGAGCTCTCAAAAATACTGGACAAGCTTAATTGTGGAAATTTTCAAAAAATGATAATATTGAAAAAATCATTATTGAAGTATTTTTCTTTTCTATTTTATAGGGTTTAAGACCCAAGCACTACCTCATGGTCGTAATACGAGACGGGCAGCTTCTGCTGTTGGTGAAGAGCAAAGTTAAAAAGGAAATGCAATTTAGAACACCATTCAACGATGGTAATTGGCATCATGTAGTGATTAGTCACGACGAGAGGAAATTAACGTTACTCGTGGATTCCCAAACGCCACGTACAATTAAAGTGCCGAGAAAGATTGGATTGGCTTCTATGATGTATATTGGAGGGCTACCTGAGAGTGGGACACTGATACCTGAACAAGTTGTGGTGAAACTTGAGACACTGAAAGGGTGTATCAGAGGGTTGAGGATTAATGGAAATGTGTACGATATGGTTGGTTCCACGAGCAGAGCGTATCAAGTGGGACAGTGTTTCCCAAATGTTGAAAGTGGAGCTTATTTCCAAGATGAAGCATATGCTATATACAGTAAGATATCAAATTTGTATTCTCTATTTTAATTTTCAAATATTACTAGCTATTTCATTCATCATTCGTTCTTTTTACTCTGTACAGAATGTAGTAAAATTAGATTGAATCTATAGATGGTAAAGTTAACAGTAGAAAAGATTGAATAATTCAATGATAATTTCTTGCTGAAAGAAAACCTATGCTTTGATTTTTAAAGAGAAGTGCAATTAAACTCAATTTCCCTCTTTACTACTTCTTTGTAAACAAAGCTTAATTGAACAATGTAAAACTGAAGAACTTGATAAATTAATAAATGATATCTTTCTCCTTTCTTTTTCAGAGAGAAATTTTGAACTGGGTGCTGTATTGGAACTTCAATTGGAATTCAGAACATCAGAATTGTCGGGCGTTTTACTTTCAATAACGGCACCTGGCAATTCACCTTCATTGTCATTGGAGCTAAATAATGGTAAAGTGATCATGTCGGGCGACCTGGGAGACAACAATCCGTTGTATGTAGAACAACGTTTCACTAGTCCATACACAATTTGTGACAATCAATGGCACAGAATACAAGCAGTTTATAATGATGAAGAGTTGGCCCTGAAAGTTGATGAGATGGATCAAAAGTATGGCCTTCCGGCCAACGTCAATTATCATATAATGGATTCTACAGTCTCTGGACCTTTATACATTGGTGGTTTGCCAGGTAAAAAAATGATCAATCTTTCCTTCTATCAGTTATTTCCTGTTGAAAACTGTAGTATTTCAATAAGTAAACTATGACATCTTTAAGAGCATCATTCAAACTTTGAAAACTGTAGTAAAACTGTAGCATCATTTAAGCTTTGTTGATTGAATTAATTAACATTTTATGAAGTGTTAATGAAACTATCATAATGTAAGGAAGAATGTAATATAGATGATTTTTATAAATACAAATGAATGACAATGTTGCAGCCTCTGCTCCAAAAGGAACATTAATAACAAGGGATCATTTCAATGGATGTATAAGAAATGTGATGATAGGGGGAGAGAGACGAGATTGGACAGACATGGATGAGTTACATAATATTCACTTGAGCTCCTGCCCAGTACAATGATAATCAGTACAATGTGTGAACTCCTCTGAGTCATTCAATTTAGTTCCAAAGACTGTTCAAAGGATGCACAATGCTCGAAACGTTTCTATGAACTGTGTTCAATGCAATTTCACACCGAGATCAAGTGCCATATCATGATGGGAAATTCTTTAATCATTAAGACATAAGATTAAACCAAGCCAAGAGATGCTAACATGCAAATGCATGAAATTTACATCGATGTTTCTCAAACTTGTTTTTATTGCTGCCAAATCTCACGGTAACAAATTCTTACACAACACTAGTGAAAATTTTCTCTACCTTTCTACGTGTTTTTTAACGATAAGTTTATATTTATATTAAAAATAATTTGTGAAAAATTAACATGCAATGAATACAATATAAAAATGACGAGTTAATATTTACAATTTGTACATAACAGAATTCTATATCTACTTATTCTATCTAAAGCTATTTAAAATAAATCGGTACCAAGAAACACAACAAATTTTCGAAAAATGAATAAAGAAATTTATAAAATCTTGAAATTACGCGTTAGAAAAATTAATAATGAAAATTGGAGTCGTAATTTCGAGTCAAAAGTTTAAGCATATATATATTTTGAAATTAACAAAAGAATTAGAAATTTAACTTCTGTTTCTATCGAAAAATCGAATTCGAATTGTCATAACCGTTAATGCGTTTTCTTTATCATTGCATATAAAGTGAAAGTAGTCAGAAAATATTGACACATACCTTAGAAAACAACGATGTAAGGTATAAGCAATTCGTTGCACTCATATTACCATTCCAATACTTATTTTAATTATAATATTCACAATAACGTCTTGAAGGTACACTTTATGAAGAACGTCATCTTCCCGCGCCTTAACGCGAATCTTTATATTTCAACGAATACAACGTTCGTCAAAATTGAAATCGAAAATTATGAAAAATGTTAAAAGCTAAAAGAAAAATTAACTTAATAAAAGAAATTATAATTCGTTTATTTAAATCAATTTAATTTAATTGTAAAAATGAAAA